CGAAGGTTCTGGAATTTTTCCAAGTTCTTTCCAGTTAGCTGTAGAAGCCTGTGCAAATGTGTCTCTGTACGTGTGTGGTTTTCAAAGGTAATAGCCAGATATGTATGGACTTGTGTAGCAGGCATCTATTACTGATGCTAGAATTTCCTTCAGGCATAAACGTCTCTCTCTAGAGCTTGAAGAATCATCAGTATAGAACAAGATGCATCCGTGTCTCTGCTCTGACTCATTTATCTATTTTTTTCAATAACTGTTTCTCAAGTGCCAGATGTGAAGCAGGTTCACAGTGCCCCAGTTACCACTTCAGCTCACTGAATTTTGGACTGCAGTTATTATTATTTTATGCATCTGGCAGGACAGAATATTCACACACATACGCTACATAAAAGGGGTTTATCATTTACAGATAGGCAGCGAGGGAAAGCTGAAGCCTAGGACTCATGATAAGATGGGCTACACAGTCTCAGGAAAGCCATCCAAGATGGATGGACTCTTGTGTGTGCATACTTCAGAAAGCAACCTACTCCATCCTTCCCCTCTAGTTTTATACTCCGTTGGTAACAGGACTTGCTGGGCTAGAGCATTAAAGACCATATTTTTCTGGGAGGGACTGGCCATGGCTTGGGATGTTCAGGGGAGCCCTTCTTTTTTTAATCTCAAGATGTTGCATCCTCAGCATATTTTAGGGTTAATCTTGAGATGCACAAATGAAAAAGAAAGAATTGAGGTGGCCTAAGGCCATCTGGAGCACTGTCTTGCTCCTGAAGACATGTCTACTGCTGGGGGCTGGGGATGTTCTAAATAACTGAAACAAGCTCCCTTTGGGCTCGTGTTTGATGAAGAAAGCAATAAATGAGTTGCACAAATAAAGCTAGTACATTAAATGCCAAGGAGAAGTAGCTGGTGATATGAGAGCATCTCAAGAAGGAACTCAACTTGGTGTAAGTCATCTATATTTCCTAGGTTTATCTTTTACATTGAGTCTTGGCCCTCATAAGATGAGGACCATCCATCTACCCATCCACTTATCCATCCATCCATTTTACCACTTACTGTCCCAAACCAGGGGGGGTCAGTCAACGAAGGTCACCTGCGGGAGGAGCGGGGAATTGAAGAGGGGACAAAGGACGGGAGACGCAAGAAATGAGGACAAGACAGGATTCTGATCAAGTCCCGTTTATTTAGGGGAGGTGCTGGGTTTATATAGAGGAGGCATAGGGAAATGACCTCAGCGGGTAAAAAGGCGCGAGTAACTAGGCAACGGCACTATAACAGGAAGTTCCACCCTGGGCATGGCAGGAGACTTATGGGAAACAGGCGGGGTGAGAAGGACCATAAACTTAACTCAGCAGGGGAATAGAATGGATACTGGTTAATGGCCTCCAACAACTTACCAATGATCTGCACGCTAATCTATTCACCATCCACCTATCTATCCACTGCATGTATTCAGTGGATTCTATTTATGGTCATTTGAGTGATTTTTCAAACCGTTTGCTATTATGAACAATGATGAAATGAGTAGCCTTGAGCATGAATTATTTTGCACATGGATGAGAGTATCTGTAGGTTAACCTTTTAGAAGGTCAGAGGAATTTGTGCTGAGGATTTTGCCAAGATGCCCTGCATAGCAATTGGACCCATTTAAAATGTACATCAACAGGTGCGTGTATCTGCTTTGTGGTGGTACCCACCTTGTCTTTCTTCTTTTTCTATATGCTTTGTGATGCTTGGCACAGCAACAGCATTGAGTGTGTTGAGAGGTGAATATATGCACGGATGTATTCAATGGAATATAAATAACCGTAAATAGAGGCCTGATTAGGCGCACAGAAGTATCACATAGTTCTATGTACTGACACGGAAAGATTGCTAAGACTCCTTGCTAGACTGAAGGACGATACATAACTACGTGTATATTATTTTACTATCTGTGCTCCAAAGCAAAAACAAAACTTGTGTACATGGTATTTGGTACCAAAGGCCATTAATACAGTCTCAGTCTAAGTTTTAGTTTTACGTGTTTCAGAAACACACAGAGTATGAATACCCTTGACACAGCTCTGGAGCATAAATACTCTCTCTCTCCCCTCCATGGGGAGAACGGAAAGACACAGCAAGCATGCTGGGTGTGACCTTCCAGAAGACCTGGGTTTCCACAGCAGCCTTCTGCTCATTCACCACACTTGCTTGGATTTCCTGCCTTCCCCATCTCACTCCTCTGCTCTGGGGAGCAAGGCTCCTGGGAAAAGCTCCCAAATAAGCGACTTGCCACTGAATATTTACCCTAAAGTCTGCTTTTGAGGTAATGCAAACTAAGACAATGCAAGGGTTTGTGTCTGGGTTTACACAGAACCACTGGGGGCCTCGGGGGAGGGGAGTCGGGTATATTGGTGACAAGGGGGATGCATATGATGGAGCCTTTGGTTTCTTTTAAAACATATATCCTGAGAAATATTACTGACTGAAAAATAATTTAACAATGCCACCACCTGATGGATGATACAGTTGGGAAGCACAAGGGGCTTGGGCCCAAACGAAGCATCCAAAAGAACCCAAACCCAGCCTAAACTGCACCACAGATTCTAGTGCCTGCCTATACTGGTGTGAATCTTTGGCTCTACCACAGACGAGTTGTGTGCTAAGTCTTTCCAATTCTATGTGCCTTGGTTGCCTCATTATACAAAAGAGAATCATCATTTGGTACCTACCTCACGGCACTGTTATGAGTTCAACAACTTGAGGCACGTCAAGTACTGGTACAAGCCACCACTAATGGCTGTGTGTGCGTTCTTCTTATCGCTGCATTCTCCTGTGCGGGTTATCTTAGCTAAATCTATGTATCGCCCAGGTTAGTTTTCCTAGTGGATATTCTTCTCCCAGAGCCATCTCAAATTGCTTCATTTGATGCACTTCCTGTTTCCAGGAGGAGAAAAGAAAGTTCCTTTTGGAAAGCTGGGCGGAAATCTGCACCATCATCAGATCTCTGTGAAGGTCAGGTTGAGCTTTACAGAGCCTTCAAGGACGGTAAAACTCCAGAAACCAATCAGCAACTGAGCCAAGTCGAGAAGACGCATGCACGCTTGAGTCCAACATTGTACTGGGAAGCAGTTTTGACAAGGAGCTAAGAATGTGCAGTGGAGAGAGAAACACAATTGGCTTCGCTTTGTATTTTCTTACAGTTTTTATGTCTGCTTTGGAATTAACTTCTTTTTACCCTCTCTCTCACTTGAAAAGAACTAACCCCTGATAATTAAGCTCAGAGTGTGCTGAATGATGTCCACCGTGTCGCATAAATATTATTTCCAGTTCTCGGGTCTGTCATGTTAAAGCTACGCAATTATTTATTATCATAGTAATATATTTCTTCATCCTCTTGTGCCTCCTAGACCCTAAAGCAGAAAAAGTGCTTTAATAGAACTTTGTATATTGCTTCTTTGAAGCTGGGAGACTGTATTACTAGGCACCATAGAATGATGGGGGTTTGGGATGTTTTAATGAGTCATTGCCTAATATTTCTTTTCTTGCGACACATATATGATTAGCTAATGTTGTCTGCTCACTGATTAACTTTGTTTATTTCCTAATTAGGTTTAGCATCAGCTGTCTTGTAGTTATAGAAATAATTGTTTGATTAATGTGTGGGAATTTACATTTTCATTATGCTTCTGCATTAAGTTCTGTCCCAATTAGCCACAGCGCCCCATGCCGATCTGGGGCACCACAATTGCAATTTTCACCCATTAAGTGGTAACTGTTATATTGATTGGTAATAATCGGGTGCAGAGAGTAAATACCCATTAGCGAAATTTAAATTATACAACAACTGGTTCTTTAATTGGCTTCTAAATAGTGAAGTTCTAGAGAGGGGTACCTGTAATTTACACAGAAAGGGGCCTCACGCGCTTGTCAATGAGGCTTTTGATCAATAAATGCCATAAAGTCTCAAGAACCACTCTAGAAATTGGCCAAAGCTGCTGGAACTTGGTGTCCTAGCTTGTGAGGGGCTCTTTGAGTCTGTCCCTAGCCTGTGACTTTGATAAGTGCCTCCGATGGCCCTCCACTGCACCGTCTGCCCTCGTAAGCATCCATGCGTGAGCCAGTGCCCAGGAATCTTCCAAACGCGGGTCCTCTGCCATAGCCGGCCAGTTCGTGAGGCCTTCTCTGAGCAAGAGAAACCCACTCATGGTACCTCGGGGGCAACAAAACCAGGACTCACTGTAAGGACATGTGGGGTGGAGGTAGAGCCAGGAAATTCCCGGGAGAGGGCAGCTCAGGGCACTTTCACTCCAATCTCTCCTTTTGTCTCCACTGTTACCCCTCCCTCCCTCGCGCCCTCCCTCCCATTCTCACCCTCCCTTCCTTTCTGTACCTTTTCGCAAGTGTCCTCCCTCTCTCCCAGCCAGGTTTCCCACCCTCTTCACTGCTTCTTCTTAGCAGATGTCACCTGAGCATGGTTTTCGCTCGCTCGCTGTGGCTCCAACTCCACCCCGTGGGAGTCCCTTAGCTCCAGCTCCCCTAGACTTTCATTTTCTGGGTTCCTATTTATAAGACAGGAACCGGGGACTTGAGGCTGTGTCATGTGTAAGGCATTCGCCTGCCACCCACGCTCTGTGTGCCATCTATTTCTACCAGCTGAGCTATACTTTACGTAATACATGAAACAAATCAATTCCTTGTAAAATTTAACGCATCATGAAGGAAACATTTTTAATCAGTTCTGTGAATGCGAAGCCAGCATTTTCCTGACACACATTAAGATGAAATGTGCATGTGCCGGCAAAGGTCATTTCCTGTACCGTGCATAACGCCCTGCGGGAGCACTAGCTTGGCTCCTCCTCTCTATTGCACCACAGGCGTGGCTTGCGAGCAGCCTCGGGATTGGCTGCTCTTATATCACATGCCCATCCTTGTCCTATCAGCTGTGACTGCGGGGTAAAGGGGTGTGGCAGGGCCACGTGACTTAGAGTAGAGCCATGTAGGGTCAGGGTTACACAAGTGGGCTGACTGACACAGCTGGCAGCCAGGTGCTGACCAGGATCCGGGTTTTAATCCAAAGTTCCTCTCACAGAAACTCCACGAGAAAGGGCCTCAGGGATCTGCTTCTCCATCTTTTGAAGCCTAGAGGCGCAGAATAAATCACTAAGTGACAAAGGGAAGATGCTGCTCCATCTGGGATCTTCACAAGCAGCTCAATCCGGAGCTACATCCCTTTACCTAGAGCCCAGGAGTGGGCAACTCTAGTGGCCTTGGGAAATGGAACTGCTTCCCTTTGAGTTCCTGAAATGCAAGACTGCAGTGAGCCAGGGACTGTTAGCAGCCTGCCAGGGAGGCATTTTGCTGAGCCAAGAGGAACAGCGTTTGGGGAATGCTGAGAGTGCTGGGGGAGCACAAAGCAGTCGCCTTGGTTCTGACTGCAGAGGACCACGCCAGCAGAACTGAGCCAGCAGATAGGAGCACTGCCCAAGCTGTGCCCAGAGAGGGGGAAGGGAGAGGGGAAAGGAAGGGGCAAAGGGGAGGGGTAGGAGGAGAGGAGAGGGAAAGAAGAGAGGGAAAGGGAGGGAAGAGGTAGGG